GACCTGTCATATAAAGAATGCAAGCTTATTCTACTATCTTTTTCTACCTTCAGCAGAAGATAATTTCTGAATCAGCTTAATGGAGGCTCTGCTTTAGGAAGATAACTCCAGTGGCCATATGTAGGGTAAATTGGAACAGTCTTTTTGTTTCTAGGAATACTTTGCCATGACTTCATTACCCTGATATAACCTTATTGATTCAATTTTCAAACAGGATTTTGTTCAGAATATTTGAAGAAGGTGCATAATGAGAAAGCTGAGATATCATATGATCGGCATAAGGGGTTTCAATTCATTGTGATGCTTGAAAGAGAATATTTCTATTATAAGTCAGATAGCAAGAAGGACATGAAGATAAATGTGACCCAGCTTGATGTCTGCATACATTTTCTATTTTCCTTTTACTGGTGAATAATGCAAAAGTGCTAAAGGATCACCACCTTTCACAATGGCTACGGACATTTTTGATCCTACCTCAGAAAGAAGCAGGGTTTGTAAAAAGGGGCCTGTGGCCTCTTATAGCAATGGTGCAAGGCTCACATGAGAAGCATTTTTAAGTAAACATATTTATTTTCACATTGTAAGGGAAATATATTCACATTACCAAAAGAGAAAACTAGAACCAATAAATACGAAAACCTGTGTCCTCCTAACCTACCTCCCTGCTCATCCTATTGACTTGCCTGTAATGTCACTCTTCATCCCTGCCCTTCCTGAAAAGGACTTGTTCAAATTCTACATAACCTTCCAGATTTAGCTCAATACTAAGACTTCCATAAAGCCCCTCCACTTATAAGAGGAAGTGAATCCGAGATACTGGAGCAGTCAGGAAGCCATTGCAATGGCCCATGAAAGATAATGGAGCCTGATTTAGGTAGTAGGTGTGTAGCAGATAGAAGCCTTTCAGAGACACTCCAGAGGTTGCTATAGTTGAGACGGGACTGGGGGAACGGGTGAGAAGAACCTATAACCAGTTCCACAGTAAATAAATATGAAGCGATATGCCTAGTGAGCAATAATATATAACCAAGCTTTAGAAACCAGTTCTTTTTATTTATTTATGTTTTGACTCAGGCATCTTGAATCACTGGCAGAAACTTCCTCAGAAGGTCTGACCCTCTGTCATTGGATTTTTTTAAATTACTGTCCTAAGCTTTGCCAACAAGCTCCTCCTCCCAGCCCTGGGTCTGAACTTGAGCTTCCTACTGGCTCCTAATCAACTCTGTTTCCTTCATGCTCTGATGCCTTCAAGTCTGGTACCATTCCCCCTGGTTTTTCCCTCACTTAAAAGTGCTGAGATACTTGTCCAGAAAATGGGCATTTGGATTGCAGTATGCTTTTAATGACGTGTGGGGTAAGCCCCCCTAGGGACAAGGATGAACTATGCTTGAGTGACTTTCTTTCCATTGTGAGCGCTTCCCTAAAAGGCATAGTTTGTAAATTTTGTTAATGTGAAAAGGGAACATTCGGGCACCTTTTCTGGCCCGCTGATGTGTAGGGCTATTTTTATTTTTTGTTCGCTCTTTTTCTGGGCTTGTGATTTTAAAGGTGCCAGACTGACTGCCCTCGAGCCCATGTCCCCGATTTCTCCTAAGAAGAGGAAAAATACGGGAGGCAGCAGAGCTGGTCATGTCCGGGTTCAGCATATTAGCCTGACCCACTCTGGAAGAATACTCTCCAAACTATAAAGGAGAAGATTGTTCCTTATGAATCCAGACCATCTGCTTTCATAGCTGAGAAGACAAATCCTTGTGCCAGCACCAAGTCACTGCAGACATGTGGGGTCCAGTCAAGCCCAGCCACTCATTCCCTGTGGAAAAACTAGAATGTTCTCTCTCCCCTCTCCACCTGTCACAACTCCATCCTTGAGTTGGGCCCAAATGCCTCCTTTTCACAAAACCCTTCCTAAGGCCCCTGTCACATATGATTTTCCTTCCAAGCCTCCATAGCACTTTCTCCTATGGCACTGGCACCTTTTTCCATGTGATTGTAGAATGTACCTTGTAAGGCCTGTAAAAGCCACTGACCATGTCTACTCCATTTCTGTTTATCACAGAAAAGCAGAATATAGTACTTTTCAAGAGTAGACACCCGAGGAACGTTTGTTGAACAGAATGAAAATTGTAAAGCTTTGCTTTTCAGCCTGATTAGGGGTCTGTCCTGATCTTTCCCTCTAATCAGTGACTCAGATTCTCTCCCAGATCCTCAGGGATAGCTAAGAAACTCTCCATAAACCGTGTAGACCTGAGCTCTTGGATTCCAGAGATTGTACTTTGGGTCAGCCGTAGTCTGGATCACAGTCGCTACCTCCAGCTGCTTCCTAGAACACCTGACATTTAGTCAGAATTCCTTTTGTTTCCCCACGTGCGGTCCACACGTCACTGTGCCGTCCCTAGTGGACTATCAAGGAACCCAGTTTAAGATCTAGGAAGGGAAAGAATCATAACTATAAATAATTCTGTTGACCTGAATTTCACAGATTTGAAATGTAAAATTACAGTTTTCGCAGGTACCCAATAGACTGTTAATAATCATCATAGTCTTAAGAAATTGCACATATATCACAAAACCTCAGTTGATTGGTGTTGTTTGATCAGTGTTTGCCAACAGTGCCCTTCAGCTCAGAGTATTTTCATGTTATTAGTATGTTTTTTCTTTCCTGCTGGTGCTAAACCTATATTTTGCATTATCACTATTGTATTGCATGGTTTCTTTAGTTCACCAGAATTGATCAGTGATTCCAACATGATTCAATGAAGGCAATAAAAATAGAAATAAAGATAATACCATAAATACCACTTCAGATTAATATTAAAAATGTAAATTTTTGTGAACAAGGATTCCAGTGTAAATACTGGAAGCGAATCCGTATGTTGTGAAACGGATATGATGGATTTGCACAAGCAGTTGAAGAAAAGTTTGAATAACTAAACTATGCTAATGACTCTTTAAACATTATACCTTATGAATTGGTGATCCATTTTCCTATAATCCCAATGTGTTTTCTGTAATGAAATGTCAGATAGTGGCACAAAGCTCTAATTTTAGCATCAAGTTCAAACATAGCACAGTGAACTTTTTAGTAAATCAATTAAGCTGTTTTTTTTTCTCAATAATCACAAAACAAGAGCCATATGCAATAACCTAATTTTGTTACTCAAGGCAATTAAGTCCCAAATTTAAAAGGCACCTTTCTAAGGTTATACATCTCATAATAAAAACAGGTACAAAATCACTCTTGGGTGGGAGCTTATAAAACAAGCCACAAGGTATATTACAAAAGTTTTTATCCAGTGTTAGGAATATGATATCAAGACTTTATAGTGTCAGCTACAGTGGTGACAGCTTAGTTTCCAGGACTTTAACTCTTTTTACAGCACTTGATATTTCTTATTCCTTTGGGGGAAAACGATCTGTCATTTGGGTTAAATTTTAAAAATACATTTAAGTCCTGCAACAGAACATATAGAAATATTTTCCAGTGCCAGTGCAACTGGAGAGGATTAGAAATATATTTGCCTCTTTCCTCCCAAGTTGAAACATTTAGCCCTCCCGTTTTTGGGTGTGAAATGGTTGTCAATCCAGTGGATGGAGTGCTGAAAGCAGTCTTTAGTGAGAAATCGCTCCATCCTGTCAGCTCTGTGTTCAGTCCTGATGCACAGAACTAAACAGTTGCAAACAGCCTCATGGTTAAAACCATGGACGCCGGAGCCAGACTCCTTGGATTTGAATTTCATTAACCGTTTTTATGACTCTGTTTCCTCATCTGTGCAATAAGAATAATAACAGACCTACGGCATAGGTGGTTGTAAATATGAAAGGAGTTAATGTGTGTATAAAGCACCGTGAAAATGCCTGGCACATGGGAAACACTGGGTATGCTTATAGTTTATGCGTCAAAGCCCACCGATTCTTGCTGACATTCCCAGCGACCTGTAATTATTTGTTAAGACGTTTTACTTATAGAAATAGAGACTAAGAAAGAAAACTGGACGTGGATTTGACCTCCGGCTCAAGATTCCCATGACGGAACCAGAGAGGGATACAGATTGCAACCAGCACAATGCCTCACAAGACATAAATATTTATCTTCTGTTACGTTTTATTGTTCCTATTTAAAACAAGGAATTTTTAAAAACCGAAATCTGATGTCCATATGTGGTCCAGATGCCCCATAAATCAGTTTAAGAATGCTGAAAGTTTACAGAACCCTGGGTTGGACAGTGACAAGCAGGGTCATCGAGACTCCACCCCCTACAAGTATGTGGAACCTTTTCAGGTTTTAGGGATGGTTCAAACTCTGATCACATTTGGAGGCAGTACCAACTGGATTTTAGTAACTTAAAGGGTGTTTGTCAAGTGTAAGAGGAGACTTGCTTAATGAGGCCCTAGAAGACAGAAATGGAACTACTGAGTAGCAGTGAGCTTGAGGAAGCAGTCTGGCTCAGTATGAGAAAGAACTTTCCAGCAGTCAGAGCTGTCGGGAAATAAAAGGGACTCCCTTTTGATCTGTCACTGAGGGCTGGATGCAGAGATTTTACAACCTGGGCTTTTGTGAAAGGAGTTGAAGTTAGAGTTTGGACCCAATTCCCTCACAGTCTAACTGGACACGTAGACTCTCTAAGCAGAAAGACTTGCCTAGGCTGTGCCTTCCACTGATTCTATGCTGAGTCATGTTCTTCCTATACTTGTGTATGAGATTGGACGCACAGCACTGGCCTCAACATTCGGAGACCCGAGTTCTACTCTGTTACTTTCTGTAGGTCCTTGAGCTGAGGGTCAACTTTTTGAATACCTCGTGTAAAATCTCCATCATGGCGGCCTCACAGGGGTTAGCCTGGCTCTACCGGTGATCTCGTGCGTGGGGGCGGCAGTGGCCATGTCAGCTCCACTGCCGCCACTGCCACTATGAACCTGCTGTCCCCTCCATGTCGGCTTCTTTAGAAGGACTGAAGGTGTTCCTTGGTGTGCTCTTAGCAGTCAATCCTTTTTTCTTTCAGGCCGCTGTGCTCGCTGTGGGGAAAACGTAGTCGGGGAAGGGACAGGATGCACCGCTATGGATCAGGTCTTCCATGTGGATTGTTTTACCTGCATCATCTGCAACAACAAGCTCCGAGGACAGCCCTTCTACGCCGTAGAGAAGAAAGCCTACTGTGAGCCCTGCTACATTGTAAGTTCAGACTCGCTTTGCCTCTCTTGTGCTTTGCAAAGATGTCTTCTTTGGCAGAATGCCAATCACTCCAGATAAGAATGGAGCCATCGGATCTTTATTTCTCCCCAAATTTCAAAGTGTGTGTGTGTGTGTGTGTGTGTGTGTGTGTGTGTGTGTGTGTAAATTGGCAGATCTTAACTTTTTCCAACTGTCCCCTGTTCGTATGCGGTCAGAAAGGCGTGTTAGGAGAGTCAATCAGTGATCTGCTGGGAATATCACCACCTTGTGGCTTTCAAGCATGTATGTACAAGGTCACACATCACCCCCTGAATATCAGAAGTCATGCCTCTGTTATTAGGTCTCACCCTGAATTTGAATCTGCCAATATTGGTAAAGAAACAATGCAGGGCCTCTGGACTTGTCAGGGCTCTTTCAAACCCCCCGGGCCCTTTGAATCATTCCTTATCCATTCTTAAGTTTTCTTACCACCATACCCAGCAGGTTTTCAACAATGCAAAGAAAGAAACCCTTTTTCATAGAGGGAAATGAATTTCCCTTAAAGGAAAATGAATAGTAATGCTGACTGAGGTAATAATTGGGTTTTTCTAAAAGAACACAACAACTGTATCTTAATAACATAAGTAGGTGGCTAAAAAATACACACACTCTTCATTTTTTACCAGGCTACTTAAGTACACACATTAAGCTACACACACACCAGAAGAGAGATCAATTTGATGAATGAACATAAACTTTCTTAAAATTTAAAATACATTTCTTTGCTATCTATCTGCATAATTTTAATCTCTTTAGCACTTTTTAGCGGAAAAAATAGTACAGTTTTGCAAACCCACAAAAGAAGCCTCACTGTCCAGGCATTTTTACATAAAAGAAGCTTTGGGTGCAAGGTCTTAGGAGTTATTCATAGCCTTGCAGATCCACAAGGTTCAAGTTCATTGCAGAGTCCCTGGCCTCATTGGTATCTATCTTCCCGTGACCTGATGGCTGTCACTCATCACAGCCTTGGAGTCTCTGTAGCACAGATCTGAAAGTTTAAGATTAAGATCTTGCAGGATTCAGTATAGGTTTTGCATCTCTTAGGTTCAATTTTATTCCATTTTCCTCCCCAAAGGCAACTTAAACGTATATAGCCTCATAATAGTGCCTGCCACACACTGCTGGAGCTGGGAAGGAAAAAAAAAAAAAGGTCATTTGTCTAACTCCTCTTTTTAGAAGTGAGAATACAGAAACACAGAGAGGAGGAAAATGATTTCTTCTATTCAATCCTTTGGTGTCAGAGCCATGGCTATATTCAGTTTTTCCCACCCCTGGTCTCGTAGTCTTTGCTGACACCACATATTTTTAGCTCGTCTAGAACATAAACACAAATATCATAGTGTCCTGTTGATCTCAGGGAGCTTTTACTTATGAGGGTAAGACCAGTGAACCAAAGCTCACCTCTTTAAGAAGTGAGAATATTTCAAATATCACCCTTTGAGATCTTTATTGAAAAGAGAAAATTACAGAATCCCTGTCTTTGGTAAGCAGACTGCATGGACTATCATTCACAATGACTTAGGATCCCCACTCCCCCCATGAAATTCTTTACTGCAGTGGACTCTGTGATGATGATGACATCCTCTGGTAGCACCTATGGCTGTTTGTCCTTATACAAAGTGACTGCTGTGTGTTTTGTAGCTCTTGTGTCTATTTTCCATCCTTTTTTGGCCTGCATTATGGATTCTTGCTACCATTCATGGTGCTGTGGTGGTAGCTTCCTTCATTTTTTCCTGTATCTCTTAGTGCTAGGAATCGTGAACAGTATTGGGAGACAAGATAACATGGTATGAAGAACATGGCTTGAGTCTGATTTCGTCACTTAATGCTTCATCTCCTAGAGAAAGTTACTGGATGTTTCTATGCCTCAGTTTCCTCAAAGACATAATGGGGATGATTGCAGGATTTTCCCCAAAGGCCTGTGAGGATGAAATGGGGCAACCTGTAAAGCACACTTGGCCTGCCCAGGGAATGGTAATGGAATGAATGTTATTCTGAGATTAATTTTGGTAAGATTTCTGACATAGGTGGTATTTCTGAATATTGGGTTGTAGGAAATTATTTTTAACTCCTCAGACACACCCCTGTCCCATTTTAAAATGCTTTTTGTGCCCTTCTGATTGAGTAATAAGACTGGAAAAAAGATGTAAACTGACTCAATTATGGGTTTCTACGTCATGTGGGCTCAGGTTTCGATTTCCATGCCAGGAGTAGGATCTCGATGATTCTTCAGGAGGGAGTTTCTTTTACTTTGGGAGCCTGTTACTAGACTGAGCTTATGACAGGGTAGAGTATCTGGGAGGCATTTAATCACATCCTTGGAAGAGCAGGGTGAGCTCAAACAATGGAAATTCTGACCATTCCTTTTGACTTTCCCTCCCTCATAAGCGTTAATCAAGATTTTGCTTTATGAGGCTCATCCACGGTGACTCTAAAATGCAATTTAATTCTTATCAGAATTCAGTTAAGCTTTATCCGGAGACCCTTGTTCCATATTGATTTCAGAGTTCAGCACGGCCCTCAAGCTCTCGGATGGGCGTTCTAGCATTTTAATTTCTTTGGGACTTTTCATAAATCCAATAAGCTGCCACACCGGGAAAGTAAGGAGTTTTCTTTTGGGGGAATCAGGAAAGCTGGGAGTATAAAATGAAACGAGTTGATGTTGAAGATAGAGTGTGTAGTAAGGAGGATCCTAGGGAGGTGTGCGTGCCTTTTCGAACCCAAGCCCTTGGACCAGGAGCACGTTCAATGGCGTCCAAACTTCCTCTTCTCCTGTTAGTGGAAACTGATGTCTGAGTGACATCCTATAGAAGATGCAGAAAACCCAGGCTCTAGGCCTCAGTCAGTGAGGTGTTTTGGTTTTATTTTTTTCTTTCATTGTTGGAATCAGACTATTCAAGATTGTGATTTAGTTCATTATTTCTGTGTAAAGACCACCCATGTTCAATGCTCTGAGTCCAAGAAGGAGATCCTCATCTAATATAAATTTAATATATTCTTGCCTAAGATGATTATTAACCAACTTAGATCATATTTAAGTTAACCATTTACATAATTTGGAGGGAAAATATACCAGTTAGGTCTTCATCTTCACTTCAATAATTATTCAGATTTTCCTATTGTCTCTTGAATCTTTCATACTTGCACATATATACCTATAATTAAACCAGTTTGGTTCTATAGGGCATTATACTTCTCCTTAATGATTTTTCTATATGCTTTCATGTTTTCTATTGATTGGTTTATTTTAAATACGTATATAGCTTTCCATTATTAATAATCTCTGTATTTTAACTTTTTTCTGTTTAATTTTACATTATGTTTGCATACTACATTTTAAAGCTATTTTCCCCTAGAAAGGTATTGGGTATTTTCCATTCAGTCAGTATTGTAAATAACATGCCTATAAATAGCAGAGTTAAAGTTTTATATTATTTTACTTTGAATTTTTTCCTTAGCATAAATTCTTTGATTTATATGAGCAAGTTTACTTTACAGCACTTTGGAGAACTTTTGGTAGATTTCTTTAGAAAGGTTGTTCAAATTCATAGAACCATCAGCAATACGAAACCATATGTTAAACTATAACCTATCCACTATTGAAGAGGTTTATTTATACTTATTTTGAACCAATTAAATAAGTACTTTATGTAATTTAAGTTTGTATAGTTATTAGCAAATCAGTGAGACGCTTTTCTACTTTGGTGATCTCTTAACAGCATAGTTTTGGGGTGCCTGGGTGGTTCAGTTGGTCAAGCATCCAACTTTGGCTTAGGTCATGACCTTGCAGTTTGTGAGTTCAAGCCCTACATTGGGCTCTGTGCTGATAGCTCAGAGCCTGGAGCCTGTTTCAGAATTTGTGTCTTCCTCTCTCTCTGCCCCTCCCCTGCTCACTCTCTGTCTCTCTCACTCTCAAAAATAAATAAATATTAAAATATATATACATTTATAAAAGCTTAGTTTTGATTATTCTTATGGATTTGTATAAATGAGCAGATTAAAATTAAGAGTAGTAACGTTCCTTGAGAAGTAAGGTCATATAAATAGAATGTATTGTCTCTAATCCTTGCTCTCCAGGTGTGACCTTGGGCAAGTCATTTAGTTTCTGAGTACTGGTATCATCATTTATGAAAGAGATATTAACTTCTTCCCTGTCTTCAAAGAGAAGGAATGAACACTTGTGATATTGTATACATTATGAAGTTTTATACCAATATAAGGGCTTAATCCATTAATAACATTATTATCATCGCTCTTTCCCTTAGCATAATCTGATACAGTTTAGAAATCCTCTATGTTTGGGGTAATTTCGTAGCTGCAGTTGCTATGGAAATACTGAAATAAATAAGTGTCATAGAAGGAATATGAGGACATATATGAGAAGAAGAGGCTCATGCTATGCTTAAGAAGATGTTTATGTTGGTATGAGTATGAGGGACAGCAACTGTACCTTCCACCACAGCATTCGGTCCTGAATGAGACAGGTTTACCCACAAGTAGAGATTAACAGAAGAACTGCTGTGTTCTTAGCGTGACCAAGGAGTCTGGGCTGGAGACACAGCGCATCTGGGATTCTCAGATACTCAGTCTGTTTACGAAATGGCAGCCAAGGATCTTCCCCTAAACCAGGGCTTTTTACTAGGAGTGGATCAAATCCAACTTCTAACTCTCCAACAGTGGAAGTTGGTACAGACATTTTTATTAGTTAAAATCCAAGTGATTAAAAGGCCTCAGGAAATAGGAAGCCAACTCCACAGGAGACGAAACACTATAATGTCCTTGAATTTGACACATTAGTGGCCAACATTGTAGTAGCCTTTTGCTCCCTTATGTCACTAAATGGCTAGTTAAAACATTCGAACTTTTCAATCTACCTTAGGCGGTAGGTTTTGTACCTCTGCAGGAAAGTTGTCCTTTTACACACCCAGTTCCTCCTAATAGTGTTTTAAAAGCAGTTACAG